CAGCTAGTTCAAATAATCATAATATAAAAATACTTTAAAATATTTTAAAATTTAAAATTTCATCATTCATTTTAAAATTGAGTTCTAATAATCCTTAAATTATTTTAAAATTGAACTCTAATATCCGTATAATTTAAAAGTAATTCCAATACATTACATTTATTTTACAATTTAATCTTCTTATTATGGTTTTCTTTTCAGCAAAGACAATAAGAAATCCCATTATTTTCAATTTATTTTATTTATTTATTTTACTTTTTCCATTTAAGAGTTCTTATTGGTTGGTGTGCGAATTAAAACCATGCTATTTGGCCAATGGTTAAGCTGGTCACGCAGAGGGAGCGTGGCTGACAAGACGCGTGTATTGGAAGTCAACTATCGGCGTCACCCCCGCCCGCACAGCAAGCCAAGTGACGACCACCTCAGCCACAACGTACCGTCGCTTCCCTATTCAGCTCACGCCACCTCCCGCCGATATTTTGTCTGCAACTTCACAGTTTATTTTATTAATAGCCCCATGTGCAACATGAGCGCGTGTGTGTGCATAAATATATTTATATAATCTTATCTATAAAAGATGTATTTCATTCTAAAAATATTTAAATAATTGTATTTTTTTTATTTAATATGAATGCAGATTTAAATAAAATAAATATAAAAATAAAAAATAAAAGTTTAGCGGTTTAATTTATAAATACATAAAAATTAGTTGTTATACATGTTTTGTCTATTACGTTGTTGAGAATTTTATGTTTCAACTAATAAGTCTTAAGTTTAAGGTTTTACATATGTAGCGGCATACATTATGATGTGTGTGAAGGTATTTTCCTTCACATATAACGAAAGAGAAAATCAATTTGATAGAGGAAGATGGATTGCCAAGATTACTATCAGTATATAGTTGCAGTGCAATGATGTTCAAACTTTCTCGAGGAGTGTTCGAAGTGAGTCTTATGAATATACATCTTGATAATAACATGCATTGTTGAATGTAGTTATTCATACAATGAAGCTTGTTTTATTGTAGCATAAGTTTGTAGTGGATATCTTGTTAGGGCACGGGTTTGAATGTGGCGCATGTCTTATTGTGATGCTGGTACGACCGTGAAACTAGTCTTACTGGCTATGATTGCAAACTATAACAAAAGCCTCAATGTCTATAACGTTATGTGTGTGTGTGTGTAGCCCATCTACATGATACATGTGGTTGTCATTTATCATGTTGCCATGTTGTTCCCAATAGATGTCTCCTAAGTTAACTTATTTTGCCGTCAAACATGATGGATTGACTAAAAATTAGCTCTTATTTATTCACAAGATCTAACAACTCAAATTAAAATTTCACCGAAGTTGTTCTCCAACTGATAACTCATCTAGTTCTCTCTTCATAAATACATTAAATACTTTAATTAAAAAACAAGTTTCCATTGACTCCTTAATTGATGACTTCTCTCATAAAAATCGCTATTTGATTTTGATTGACACCCTCAACTCTTAACTAACATGTTTTCTTCAAATAGACATCTTCAAGTGATGCCCAATGATCCCCTATTAGATGACTCCTTTAATGTCCACCAACTCTTATTTAACTAATATCTTCATTCATGTTTGCAAAAATTGTATCCTTCATAAGTGCTCCCATGATGGCCAGAAATGAAGGCATGCTTGTCCTTTCTAGCTTATGTCCACCTTAAATCAATTCAGTTTTTTGGTGACAAAACCTATCATAATGCCTAATGGTCATTTTTTAACCATCAAAACATTGAGCAAGTCCACCAAAGACACTTCATGGAGGTCATTGCTTTTTCTAGACGTCATAAAACTTTCCTTGTATTCATTTTTGAAGGTTTGAAATCACACCACACAGCTCTCCTATAGTGTTGGAGCGCACCACCATTAGAATAGAGAGATTTGCCTAAAATTGTTGGTCTAATGAACAAAAGGTGTTATTATCTCATATTCATGTTTGTTGACCATTCTATTCACCATCTCATGACACAATAATATTGGAACCAATCTCTTAGGACAACTTGGAGGAAATATGATATTGCATAAGTGCATAAATTCCCCAACTACCCTTCTTTAGTTCATTGTTATGTTAGATCACTAGTTGACTCTGTTACAGCAAAGAGACACAAGAAATCTGTGCATTTTTCTCAGCAACAACATCCTATCTTTTATCATTATTTTTTTCATTTTGCAAGGGCAAAAAGTGACACAATTTTGTCTTCTTTTTTGATATGCTCCTCCTCCGAGCAAGTAAAATGTTATCTTTCAATGTTACTTTTTTGGCAACAATCTGACATTTATCCAAACATCATTTTCATGTCAAGCAGCTCAAAAGGTTTCCTTAAATCTCATCTCCATCATAGTTTCTAATTTCACCTTAGTCGCTACCACCTCCGTAGATTTAACTGCCTTCACCATAGATTTTGTCGTAATTTTTGCTTTTTCGATGTTTGTTAATTTCTTGATGTAGCTCTCTCCAAGTCTCCATTTTCATTATCATTATCAACTGAAATGCCCCAACCTTTTTTCATCATCAGCTTATCTTGAGTTGTCAAATTAAAAAATATAGATAAAGAGAGAAACAAAGAAGCAACAGAATTAACCAATGACTTATTTCACTTCTAAAAGTATTATAAATAGAGTTCTTAGAGTTAAAGAGAACATGTGTGATGCATCA